AAAAAAAAAAGGGTGATAGGCACTTTAAAGTTGTAAAGTATGGTAAGGCTACAGACATATTTTGGCACTGATAAGAAAACTCCATTCTGAATATTTACCCTTTAATTCCAGAGTCTGTGACAGTCGTCTGAGCAAGATTCAGATGTTCCAATTTTGGACACAGGGACAAAATCTTGAACACCTGGTTAAAAACAGTGAAATCAACGTCATTGAAGACTTTAAATGGCAGTCCCGTCTCTCCACACTTCATCATTACTAAGCATCTGGGTATGAGGATTTTAGGGGGTTTGAAATTGGTGCAATGTACCTCGAAGGGGACCCGAGTCCTATTGTACAGCACAAGTCTACGGGCAAAATCTCAAATAAATAAATGAATGAATGAATGAATGAATGATTGAATGAAGAAAGAAAGAAATAAATAAAATGGTGGTGCCATCCCTTCACACTTCATCATTACTAACCAACATGGGAGGGACGTAAAAGAACCACTGTGGATGTAAAGAAACCCTGGCAGTGACCACCATCAGTGCCTACACCTCATACTAACCATCTCTCTATCTCTGTAAATTGCGTATAAAAAGCAATCTGAAATTCACAACTCAATGTAAAGCACCTTTGATTATATTCATTTTCATAAATAATACATAATTAAACATATACTAACCAGCCCATTGCTAAGTAAGGGGCAACAACCAAGACTTAATACTTGGACATTCTTGCCGACATATGGAAGTAAATTCTTGGCCATGTCCAGCATTCTCCCTAACTGAGATCTCATGGTACGTGTCCTGCTTGTGCCATCTGTATCTTCATCACTGTCATAGGATTCATCTACATCTGCATCTACATCTGCATATGAACTGCAATGCAAAAACATATCGAGGATAATAATAATAATAGTAATAATAATAATAAGTATATGTAATAGGACTCCATGCTGTCCTATTAAGAAATAATTGGACGAGAAAATTCTGAGGACTGACAAAATTGGATGAGGCTGTAGGCCGAGTCCAATTTGGCAGTCAGAGGAATTTTTCAAGTCTAATTATTTCTTGATTGGGGAGCATGAAATCCCATCCCCTATTAATTATATAGCTGCCTAATTAACCCCATATCAACAAGACCTGACCAATTAAGGAAATAATTGGACAGTTACCTATATGGGATTAATGAGAAGCTGTATAACTATAATAATAATGGTAATAGATTCTTAAAAGCGCATAAAACGAGTCTATGTGCAATTTACAATAATTTTGAAGACCTATACAAATGCAAACTAATTTATCTATTTATCTATCTATCTATGTAGTAGGTAACAAAAATTAATTAGAATAATGGTACCATGTGGGACTACTCCCCACCATGAGCTGGTGGTGCGAAGATATGAAGTTAATCTTCGAGTGGTAAAAATATTTCACGAGTGAGAGCTGCAAATGAGTGAAATAATTTTCAACATGGGAAGATAAACTTCATATCTTCAAGCCAACATGCAATTTCCTTTTATTATATAGTAGTAGGATCTTTGCTATTCTTAATTCCCACTAGAGTAATATTGTGGATAGGCCAAGAAATGTTCTGGTACATATACATGCCAGGGACGGATCCAGGAAGTTTAGAAGGGGGGGTGACCATAACAAAGGTTTTACCAGGAATTCGAGGAAAAAGGGGGTGAATGTTACTAACAATATGCTGAGAAATTTGAGCAAAAGTTGGGTGACAAGTCATCTATATTACCACCCCTAGATCTGTCCCTGCATGCAGGCTATCAGGAAATAACTTGGAATAACTGCCTTAACTGTACTTGGAATATATTGTTATATTTTTACTACCATTTTCTTTGAGTGCAACTGGCAAAGTTTGTCTCATTCACAGACTAGCATTTCAAAGAACATCGATTCTTTGCATCCTGATCTTTGTCTTTGCAGCCTTTGTCGACCTCTGAAACTACCAATGTCTTTCGTTCCTTCTTCTCTAAAACGTCAGGTACATTCTCTATTCCTCAGAAAACTGAACTCTGTAGCTCTGCACACCCTGCTCTAATTTCATAAACTGCAAATCTGTCACTAAGTAATTATTATTATACTAATTTCTATTACAGACTGTATTTCCATTTTCCTTCTTCTAGGAATTTTCTGTTTGCATATTGCTACATTGTTATAGTTTTTATTTTTTTCGTTTTATGAGTTACATAACTGAGAGGTTTAAAATTATGTTACCCTCGTAAAATAAAGATTTAAGAAAACAAAATTACCTTCTTAATTGCAGTAATCTTTCAATGTCTTCCTCCAATGTCCCAAATGATCCTGGACAATTACAATCACAAGGATCTTCCTCATTCACAACACCAAATCTCCAATCATTCTGGAAGATCCACCGGACAGGATACAACTCTTTCCACAACTGCCCATCTCTGGCTAACGTTGACCAGCTTTTACTGACCTGGGCAGCACGGCACAAGTCTTTAGGGTTCAGATACGAGAATATCTTTAATGTCACTTCTGGGGGAAATTTTAATAATATGGGTTGGGATTTGAGTTGCGTTTTAGTTTTTTGTGATGAACATGGTACGGCAAGTGGTCTTTCAGGTGTCTGTGCGACATCCACAAGCGTTTCATTATCTCCACTTTCACTGTCCGAAGAACTCCACTCATACTCAGAACAAAAATTGTTGTTATCTGTTTCATGGGAAAGAGCTGAAGAATGGCTCTAAGAAGCAAAAGAAGGAAGATTATTACTAAGTCATTTAGAATGCTGATGCATGATTCTTTAATACTTATTTATGAAGTTGCCAACTTTTTATAATAATAATCTTTTTAATTATACTTGGATTTGAGAGTAGCAGAGATTGCTAATAATTTAATCAGGGTGCTTTCCATTAAGTCGAACCAACCAGTCTGAGCAGCCAGTTCTCAAATGGTTTTTAGAACTTGGTCAACCAGTTCTATAGAACTGACTCATACCATTTGAGAATTGGACACTCGGACTGGTCAGTTTCACTTAATGGAAAGCATCCTCAGAGTCCACTCAAACGCACTGCCACAGAATTTCAATATTTTAGACACACAACTCTCAACTCATATGCTGCTTTTTCACAGAGGGAGGAAAACTGAAGAGCACAGAGAAAACCCTTGTGGGAAGGAAGAGAACAACACATCAAACAAACTCTATTCACAAGTGGCAACCACAGGCTTGATTTTGGACCACAGGGCTCGAACCAGCAACCTGATCAATTGGACTCACAGTGGTGAAAGACAACACACTTGCAGCATACGCCACTCATGTCACACAGTTTTGATTCTTCTCAACTATACTTACCTCAGAAAAAGCAACATGCAAGTTGACCACTTTTTCTTTGATAATTTTGAGCTCCTCATAAGAGAAGTGTTCCATTAACAATGGCTGGAACACCTGGAATAACGAGTGATAACATGAATTATAAGAAATAATAATGATAATAATAATTATTATTATTATATAGCCAAAGAATGTGATCAAAATCTTTATATACAGTATCTAAATATATTTGCAGCAAATTAATAAATAAAATTTTAAAAAAAGGAGAAAAAGAAAAACTATAATAAAGTATACTATAATAAAAAAAATATCTACTAATGTATATCTAATAATAATAATAATAATAATGATAATAATAATTGGAGGTTCTTACATGTATATAGCGCATTTATACGTGTACATATCAATGCGCTTTACACTGTAAAAGTAAAAGTACCATCACTTTACTGCCGTTATCTTTGAAGGGCGACCCGAAAAGTTTGACGTCTAGTTCATAGAATTATTTTAAAGACTTGTGTTTGACTAACCAGAAAAGAGGTATGTCCAAGCTAAAAATAATTGGGCAGGTCATCATGACCTGTGATTAGCCAGCTGTTATTTTGAGCCCAGAAGACCAGCCAATTTAGTTTTAGCTCAGTCATCCATGTACCTCTTTACTGGTCAAAATGTCTGGCAATTTTTGCTAGATATTGTCAATGGCATAACATTGTTTTTAGCCCTGTTTAATGCTTGCATGCATAGATATTTACTCACTTCCTCCTCATGCCTCATGTGTGGAAAGAAATCTTTCTCAAACTCATTCACAGCTCTTCGGAGCTTGCTTTCATAATTGAGTACGTTTAACAGTGTCTTTTTTCGTTTAGCAGTTTTAAATCCTCTTTTGATCAGGAACAAAATCTCCCGCACATGACTGTGTTTATGAATGTCTTTGACTATGGCTGCGATTTGATCATTCGTGAGCCGCAGCTGGAGCTTTCCCATAATGCATTTGTTTTCTACTTCTTCATGATGCTTGAGTTCTTGGAAGATGTTATTAAACCGTGATAAAAGACCATACAATGAACTGTTGTCTTGAAAATTGGTTGTAGAGATCTATGGGCAGAAAAATTAAGAAATTAGATAATGTATTAGAGTACAAACACTAAAAGTGTACAACACTTTGCACTATTCAGTAGTAAATAGTGCTAATTAAACAATAGAAAACAATAGGATTAGCATAATTTAGCAGTATTTAGTGGTATTTATGTTACACACTCATAGTGTTTGTACTCTATTTATTATTCATTTATTAATTTGAAGATTTGCCAAAGGCAGGTAATTAAGTATAAATAAGTAGCCCATCCCACAGATACAGAAAGAAAAAAACTGATTACCTATTATATGAAAATGTAGAATATTGTCTATAAGAAATTAATGTAAATTAAGTTAAATTTTTTATTATAATATAACTAGATTATTACGCCCCCTCTGATTGGCCAAAAACCAATGAACTATTTCCCCATGGGCTGCACGCTTGCGCACTCTGATCTCAACGGACGCTCTCCTTTTTTCTCTAAATTTTCGAACCCGATTGCGTCAATAGCGCGCGCAAGAGTGAGATGGGTGATATAACGCGCGCTCTGATTGGCTGAAATGCCTACGAACTATTTGCCCATGGGTCGCACAGTAGATTTTTGGTCATATTATAAATCAGTTAGACGACAAAAAAGCGCTCGCCCATGGCGATATAGACGCACTTGAGAAAATATAAAGAACTCTTAACAAGCTAGAGTGTCACTCGGCTTCGCCTCGTGCCACTCATTAATTGTCTTTATATTTTCTCTCGTGCATCTATATCGCCATGGGCGCGCGTTTTTATGTCGTCTAACTGATAATTGATTAACTAAGTAGAATTTAAATATATAGAACGGCAACTTATATACACCTACTTGCAAGAACATTGTCATATGAAAATAGAACATTAATGATTTAGTGGGATAGGAATTATGTTAAAAAACAAAAGAAGATCACTGAAGCTGAACTTTATCTTTTGTCTTTTAATGTATTCCTTTGTCACTAAATTACTAATGTTCTGATATCGTATGACAACGTTCTTGCAAGTAGGTGTATAGCCTGTCTATTATAACATACATATATTTACACTGTAAATAATTCAGAAATTTGATACATTCTGTTTTTTATTTTGACAAAACTGCTCGTTTTAAGGGAGGCAGGGTCAGGTGACCTGTTAGTGCAAGTCGTCTATTTGCATTAATTATATGAAAAGTGAAAACAATTGTATATTTCAATTTTAATGAACAAAAATTTTTTAGATAGATATTTCAATGGATTTAAAGGCATTCTAATTTTATGAGAAAACAATTCATTTTAATATTAAATAATATGCAGAACTGCAGGTGGTAGTTTTAGATAAAGTAAAATTGGCAGCGTTACATAATAAAGTGCTTTCATGGTTGAAAACTTATTACATAACTTTGTTCCTTCCGTAGAAATTGTAGTTTAACTCTAAAGTAGGAAGCAATGATACTAAATTCAACTTGTTTAAGTAAGTATACAAGTTCAATCTCATTTTGAACTGCAGTGTGGGCCGATGAAAAACAAATTCTAGGTTAATTAACCTTAATAAGTCTGAACTTCTTGCCAAATGTATTCGCGTGGCGAACTTGCAAGAATAAATGCTCAGAATAAAAAGGGTTAAAAATTGAAGAATATTTTATAAAATCAAGGTATAAATATTACGTTTGAGGAAGGAATGTCAGTAAAAACATCTCGAAAACCGAAAAGCAAAACAAGAGATAAGCTGAACTTGCTACAGGAATACAGTTCCTAACTGCCGTCCAAAATAACGAAACAGTGAGAGATAATTCCATTTTTAAGTAACCCAACGAACAAATTTGTTGTAGTATTCAAAATGTAGTTGTTGTATTCAAAATCAGACGCTATATTGCATCGAAATTTATTCAAACGAAAATACAATATTCGTCAAGTCGAACAAAAACAACAAAAATTACTGCGACATCGTGACAAAGTTTTGCGATTTTAGACATCTTTCTTAAAGCTACAGCAATACAAATTAGTAGACATAAAGTTTAGGCATTGTAGATTTATTCTTTACCTTTTCTGTGGCTTCGCAGACTATCTGTTTCATGCGAATGTGAGGTATTTTGAAGACATCCACCTCGTCTGAATACACGACAGCCGCCATTTTGAATCTGACGAGGGAAGTCTTCGAAAGGTCTCATGGGTAATGACGTAATTCCGCGACGGAAAAACTCAAAATGGACGACGACGACAGAAATAACARACTGATTCTATACTCGGCAGTTAGTCGGCTATATGTCGTTGTTGTCGCACCTTTGACGACGACCGAAAAACGAGGGAAAACTACGATTTTTAGAATCCGCAGAAATCCGACAGAACGTAAAATAAGTTTTTTTTCTGACCAATTTTTCCCCACTGAATGACAAACCCCAGAGCCTAGTTTAAGCTACCTGTGATTTTATGCTGTTGTTTGCTCTGGTTTAAAAGACGTAAATATGCGAAAGTTGACGTTGATTCTTAATTTGATTGAATGTATTCACTCTTGCACGGGTTCGTCTTTTATTCAGAAATTAAGTGTCTCATTTGGCAATTTTTCTTTTTTCTTTTTTACTTTTCCTTTCCTTTTATTGCTTTTGTTGTTGTTGTTGTTGTTGTTGTTGTCTTTGTTTTGTTACCTAACTCATGATCAGTCCAATCAAACATTCAGTACTATTGTCGTTCGCACGGGCTCCCTGTGTGTTTAAACGTTTGGGCTTCCTTTATTAAAGGCCAGGTCTCTAGGCTAAATCCAAGATGTATATCTGGAGGTTTTGATTTACATTTTTAAAGCTTCAAATGGCAGGGGAAAACACCAAAAACGAAATCTTTGTTCACTTCCAAGGAAGGTAAGTTTACCAAATATAGATAGGGAGTTTCAAAGCAAACGACAGTTTTGTTTAGAAAACTGGCGTTATTAGTCTTGTAGTTTGTTGTCATCCAACATCGCCGCGTGTCTTTGGCTATTTCGTTCTTTAGAATGATTGAACACCGGCAATCAGTTTGTGTAATGTTTAATGTTTCCAAGTTATGCAAGTTTGTTCCACGACCATCCGCGTGCGTGAGTTATTCACTATGATTGTTAAGCTAGCTCATCATACAGAATGAGTAGGAGGAGGAGCCCGGGGAGGGACTCCCTTATGAAAGGGGGCGGGGGTCCTCGTCGTGGTCCTCGTCGTCCCTTTTAGGGTTTGAAATCAGGGTTTTGGTCCCGCTTAGGGTGATAACGACGGGAATGCGCACCAACTGAATTTTGTGGTCCCTTTTAGGGTATAAGATCTACAAAAAGGTAAGCGATTTGTATATAAGTCGTCATAAATTCTCAGTTAGAGCAGACGGCGTTTGATGCAAATAAAATCAAGAAACCGAACAAAAAAATGCGTAATCATCCCAAAATACAGGTCCCCTTTAGGGGTCATTTTCGGAATTTCCAACGAGGACCCCCGCCCCCTCTTATAAGGGAGTCC